ATAATGCTTGTGAAGAAATAGTGTCAAACTAGCCCACTTCCAAAATGCAAATTGGGAAACTTTTGGTAGTACGTACTATAAGTAATCTAGCTACAAGTTTCCACCATCATTAATTTGCATTAGAGATAATGATCATGATGTTAATCAAACTGCCAAGAGAGAGAGAGAGAGAGAGAGAGAGGAGCTAGGATGCATGTATGAGTGCTGCTGATATGAACAAAATGTCTGAGTCTGTGAATTATGCCGGATTTTGGGGGTTAATGTTTGACTTGTAGCTATTAATATGATTATATGACATTTGATTTGATCTGTAATATTATAACAACAGATGACAAAGCAAGGTATTCATTCACATATGTTTACTTTATTAGGTATAATTTTGCGTACGGAACAAACTAAATTCTTTTATCCTGGGTGGTGCTCTGCTGAAACTCCATTCGCACTTCTCAAGAGTTAACTTTTTCTTTTGCTTTGTAAGTTTTTTTCTCGGAACTTCACGTTTTAGTATGACTAAAGCATCCAATCTGCATTCTTCTACATGTAGATATGTATGTCTTGAATCAAGTATAATTTAATTATTTTTCATGTATAGCTAGTGCGCCTTCAAAAACCTAAGCCAAATTGAAAATTCTCCTATGCGAAAATTAGGATATTATTATTATGCAAACGTTGAATATTTTGTACTATCCGTCTCCATTTTCTTCTTGTTTACTATGGCGTTCGTACTGTAATAACGTACAGAGATCTAAATAAGATTATATATATAATATAATATATATTTATAATATATTATGTGTATAGTTAGGCAGTCTTGTCATTTTGTACGAAAATATGGCGTTGAGGAGTTTTATATATACAAGCAAGTAAACCCAAGAGTGGGCTTCAAAACGATCCTACATAAGATATTATGCTCTGTCGTTTTGAAAAATTATTTTGTGCATACGAAATACTACGTGCCATGTGGACATAGCGTATCAAATTCATCCATATAAGAAAACACACGTATATACAATTGTTACATCAAAACTTTAAATGTTGAACCGATATATTGGATTACTTACTGCACATTCATTATGATATGAATGTGAACTAGATAGTACTATGCTGGCACGCACGCAATGTATCGATCACACATTTATCTCTTTTTTAATATCTTTTTTTTTTGTGGTGGAGTTAACTTTATGATTTCCAATATTGATATATATTTTATTAATATGTGAAATTCAAATTTAAGATCACGTTTAACATTGAAAAGAGAAATGTGTTACTAATTGATTCAAAGTTAGTTTTTGTTTTAATACAAGCGATGGTCTAAATTATAGAGGATGAGTTTCTCACACACACAACTAAGATTCCATGAAGGTTCGAATCTAAGACATTTTATCTGCAAGTCAATGCCCTTTTTACTGAACTAGACTTGTTGATAATATCACAAAAGGTTCAATTGGTCCCTGAACTTTGACCTAATTCGCATTTTGATCCCTCAATTTTCAAAATCGTTCACTTCAAAAAGCAAATTAGGTCAAAATTCAAATACCATTAGACCTAAAAACCCTATGATAAATCAACCATAATACCTTTTTCTTTTTTTCGGCAACCCTAATACTAATAGTATTGCTTGCGTTTTCTATGACACACATGTACAATTTAGAATCGTATCTAGAGTGCGAACAGAACATGCATATGCAAAAGATAATAAAGCCAAGCTTGCCCCTCTTTCTATGTGCAGGAAAAACGAATCTAGAATGTTGTTTCTAAATCAGTAACGCTAAGTCAAATCTGCTCATTTCTATCTCCAAACTGAACTTAAATTAATGTGATTGGGGAATCAAACAGCTACTCTTTGTTAGTAAATTTTGACCTTTTGAGCATATATATAAAGATGGACTAGTCAACTTGTCCCATAAATTATCTCTGATGCTTCGTGTCAAGACATAATATAAAACTGTCACTGTCTTTCCCTTTCATCTCCTCTGTAAAAAATCATATTCAATTCTTTGGTGGAGCAGATGCTACCATGACTGCTTGAACAATTCAGAAGGAAAGAAAAAAGAAAGAGAGAGATCTTTATGAAGAAAATATTAGGGTTGAATAGATTCCCTTTCAATCTAAACGCTTTAGTGGTTGGATGCAGTCAAGTGTGCTTCTGACTTAATTGAGGAAGAACCTTCCTTTCACATTTGAACCTTCTCCTTTGAAAAAAAAAACCCATGAATTTGAATGTCAATCTTAAATTAAACAAAACAAGGTTGTATTTTTTTAATCCTTAAAGAGTCAGAAATCATTTTGAATTGTTTTTATGGAAATGATTTGTTTTCCACTTTCCTCTTTGGTGTGTATTTATATAAGCGATAATTTATTTTAAACTAATCTAAATTACGAGAAGAGAGATTCGAACTCGGGTTCAGAGTGAGAAGCACATCTGCTCTATTGTCTATATGCATTTACTATAGTTTGACAAGAAAGGACATTTATTAGAAAATTCATGTGCCTAACATGAACTAAAAATGGTGAGCTACCACTTATATGAGCTACAGTCAAACACGCTAGCTAATTGACACTCAATCAAATTTGTTCTTTGTATCTTCCAGTTTTTGCTTCCTACATTTCATTATCAAATACGATACGGATGATAAGGACTTATATATTTTCCAATTTCGCCATTTTTTATTGATTAAATTGAGCAAAATTGCTTGTAAAAGTTCCCTAAATTGCATGTCCCATGAACAAATCTTGATTAGCTACTAATTCATTTACTCCAAGACAAAGGTCTAAACAAGTTTGAGAATGTTTTTGGTATGTTCAAGAAATTAATCCCACAAGAAACCTAATGCAAAATACCATTATTCTTAAACTAATTCGTAGCAGCATTAATTTTTTGTAGTCTAAATTATGAGGAGAATGAGAATTTCTCACATACACACACTACCAAGATATTATAGGGATTCAAACCTGAGACCATTAGTATGCAAATTAAGATCATTTCCCACCAGGCTAGACCTCATTAACTAATTGCTCATATATGCTTAGACCCATATGTATGCATGATTAGTTTTTTGCTTTACCCTAATACTAAAATGCCTGGAATTAAATATGATTAATCAAATTAATGTAGATCTGGGGCTGAATAATTTACCCCCAGATGAGCCAAAATCTGAGTAATTTTGTTATTCTAATATATATAT